GAGGAAAGGAAAGGAAAGGAAAGGAAAGGAAAGGAAAGGAAAGGAAAGGAAAGGAAAGGAAAGGAAAGGAAAAGAAAGGAAAGGAAAGGAAAGCCTGCGGTTGGGTTTTGCTCCTGACAGAGGTATTCTTACATTAAAAGACTGCAAAACAAGGGTTTAAAAAACTTGTCCCTGGGCACAGATGCCTCCTACTCTATAATCCCCCGCCTGCCCCACACAAGCCTGGGAACAAATTGTCTGAACCTTTTTTGTGTGTCTGGCCAAACCAGTTGCCCAGAGCAGAGGCCAAGGGCAAGAGGAAGGTTGATTGTAAGAACTCTGGCAAATCAGACTGGGAAAATGACCCCCTTCTTTTTCATGCAAAAGCCTTATCAATTGATAATTGCCTTAAAGCCCTGAATGGTCAGACTAAGATTAGCAACTCTTTCACCCAAACGCAGCTGCAAAGTGGGGGTGGGGAACCCACCGCAGCAGCCAACAATAACGTGGCAATGATCATGATCTTTTCCTAGTATGGTTTCTTCACTGTGCTTCCTTCTGACCTCTAAAGTGACCTGACACAGACTGGCAAATGGATCCTTGAACAGACAGCCTAACAGAGCACCTGAAAACTTGTATTATGTTTGATTTTAACAAGTTCTTTTTTTTTTTCTTCAGGAAGCAAGAGTTAAAGCACAAATGAGGCTGCGTTCTTGCAAAGGAAGATACACACAGTTGGCAGTAATGAAACGACCTTCCTCGGCAGAAAAAAGGAGAGAGAGAGAGAGAGAGAGAGAGAGAGAGAGAGAGAGAGAGAGAGAGAGAATGAATTTAATTCTAGGTTAAAAGCAGATAAACCTTTACAATAGGACACCAGAAAATGAAAGCACAATTTTAGTGAGGGATGAGGAGGGGGAAGATGGCAAATGATTAATCCTATCTGCCAATAATTATTGTGTTTATCCTTTTTAAAAGAAAGAGTAAAAGAAACAAATACATCTCAACCAGATGCCAGGTTTTCCTACCTAATAGACACCATTTACATTTAACAACACAAACACCTATTGCTCTGTGCTCTCATAAGAAATTACTTATTTCACAGGAAATAGATGCTCTTTAGCTATATAAAGGAATGACAGAATAAGCTCACCTTGTTTTTATTTTTCTCATTTTCTTGCATTTTCTTCAGATCTGTCTTCTTAGGGAAACTAATGCCTTAATGACTTTCCGGTAGCTGCAAGCCTTCTTTTATTTCTGCTAAATATATGAAAATGTATGCAAATTTAAATCAAGTTTAACCTAGGAGCTCTTGCAATATATTTAATGGAATTTCAAACCAATAAGGGAACTCTAATTCTGTCTTCTGTAAATGCAAATATAATTATGCAGCTAGATTACCTCTAAAATTATGCAATGAAAGGTCATTTTTTAACTTCAGAGATCGAGTCAGGTATCCAGTGTTTCCTTATCCTAGCTAAAGCAAATCTTTGTATTTAACCCCACTCTGCTTACAAGCAAACCTTTGGATGGGTCTCTAAAGCACACGGACTTATCCTTCCCTAACTTCTAAAAGCTTAGGAGGAGTACAAGTCTTCCTCCCTTTCCTTTAACCAAAATTTAAAACAGTCTTGTTCTCTCAAGCTGAACAAATTCAAGCTTGATGGGGATGATGGGGGTAGTGGTACTCCCGATCCCTGTCCCTCTTCCTTTCCCTCTCGCTCTCTCTCTCCTTCTCCCTCTTCATTTCCAGTGTTCACTAAACTACTCCTATTTACTTCAACAGATCTGCAATAGTAGTGGGGGAGAATAAATACATTAAAAAATGTTTTTCCCTAAAGGACAGCATTGGGCGGGGCAGCGGAAAGTTCTCCTGTGTACCTATTGGGAGTTGGTCTGCTGAGAGTCTGGGGTGAGTGTGAGGAAGAGCTGCTAGCTTCTACAAGCATTGCCTCTGACAGAAATTGGGGACTGCTTATGGGAGCTGACATAGAGCCATAATAAAAACCAAGTCTTCCAATTGACCAACTGGATTGGAAGGCAAACTCAAAATAACTGAATTTTGCCAGTATCACAATGGATTTTAATTTCCAGAATATCCCAGTTCTTCATACCTTAAATCATTGTTTTCCAGAAGAAACTAAGCATCTCTTTCTTAGATGTTTTCTGACCTTAGTATTGAGTTTCTTATTAATATAAAATTAAATAAATTAATCAAAATAAGTCTTATTGGAACCAATGACTTCAGTATAGATTCCAGTTCCTATCAAAGACGTCCCCTTGCTCAAAGTTTGTAGCCAGATTCTGTTTTTTCAGTCCTCTACACACAACTAACCCAGAAAGTGAAATGAATCTGAGCAAAATCCATATCCACTAAGATATAGATGGCATTCAAGCTAGTGATGTTGGTTTCTTAATATTTTTTTCGTTCTCTCTTTGGGTTCACCTAAATAATGTAAAAGCTAGTTTGCAGCCTCAGCACCTATCAGTCTAAAAGCACTACACACAAACACACACATCCGTCTCATTTTTCCCGCTCCACTACAAATACGGGCGAAGTAGGTGCTGGAGGTGGTGGTGGTGGTGGTGGTGGTGGGTTAACCAACTAATCTGTTGCCGCCACTCAGCGCGATGCAGCCAGCCGATCAGTAAGATTTTATTCACTTCCTGCTTGGGTCTCACTGCAACTCACAGAGCTTCGCCAGCCTAATTTGGAAAGCTAGCCCAACCTCCCGCACCGCCATTGGCCGAACGCACGGCTGGCCAGACCGAGACGCGCTGCGATTGGCCGCGGTAGGTGTCTGTAACTCTCTGGCTGCTTTGGCTCCCCCGCAGGATAGATGTCAAAGGCTGAAGCTGCTCCCTTTGCCACATTATAACTAGTAGGGGATCCTCACCGACCATGGCCACAGCTGCCTCGAATCCCTACAGCATTCTCAGTTCCAGCTCTCTGGTCCATGCGGACTCTGCGGGCATGCAGCAGGGGAGTCCTTTCCGAAATCCTCAGAAACTTCTCCAAAGTGATTACTTGCAGGGAGTTCCTAGCAATGGGCATCCCCTCGGGCACCATTGGGTGACCAGTCTGAGCGATGGAGGCCCGTGGTCCTCCACACTGGCCACCAGCCCTCTGGACCAGCAGGACGTGAAACCCGGGCGTGAAGACCTACAGCTGGGCGCGATCATCCATCACCGCTCGCCTCACGTCGCCCACCACTCTCCGCACACTAACCACCCCAATGCCTGGGGGTCGACCCCGGCTTCAAACCCGTCCATCACGTCCAGCAGCCAACCCCTTAACGTGTACTCGCAGCCGGGCTTCACCGTGAGCGGCATGCTGGAGCACGGGGGGCTCACCCCACCGCCGGCTTCTGCCACCGCACAGAGCCTACACCCAGTGCTCCGGGAGCCCCCAGACCATAGCGATCTAGGCTCTCACCACTGCCAGGACCACTCGGATGAGGAGACACCAACCTCGGATGAGTTGGAACAGTTCGCCAAACAGTTCAAACAAAGAAGAATCAAGTTGGGTTTCACGCAGGCCGACGTGGGGCTGGCACTGGGCACACTGTATGGCAACGTGTTCTCACAAACCACCATCTGCAGGTTTGAGGCCTTGCAACTGAGCTTCAAGAACATGTGCAAGCTGAAGCCACTGCTGAACAAGTGGCTGGAGGAGGCTGATTCGTCCACTGGGAGCCCGACCAGCATTGACAAGATCGCAGCGCAGGGCCGCAAGCGCAAGAAGCGAACCTCCATTGAGGTGAGTGTCAAAGGTGTACTGGAGACGCATTTCCTCAAGTGTCCCAAGCCTGCCGCACAGGAGATTTCCTCGCTGGCAGACAGCCTCCAGTTGGAGAAAGAAGTGGTGCGTGTCTGGTTCTGTAACAGAAGACAGAAAGAGAAACGAATGACTCCACCAGGGGATCAGCAGCCACATGAGGTTTATTCGCATACCGTGAAAACAGACACGTCCTGCCATGATCTCTGACTGCAGGAAGCCGGCAACCGATCAGCCCAACGCACTAGGGCAGCGCGGATTTCTCTTTCTCTCCCACTCCCTTCCTTTCACTCCAGCTTCATAATTGCTATCTTTGTAGCTCTCTCTCTCTCTCTCTCTCTCTCTCTCTCTCTCTCTCTCTCTCTCTCTCATTTTTATTTTTTATTTCTTTACCCTTCACCCTTTCAACCGGGGGATTCTAACTTATATTAAGGAAGGAAACACTCACGCATTTCAGGCTTCTTAACGCTGGTACACAGTTTCATTAAGCACTCCAGGCGGGGTCCTCATATCCCCTGCGGTCCGGCAACAGCTTTCTCTACAACCTTTTCTGCAGATCAATATATATTATTTACTTTGAGTAAGATTTGTTTGGTTGCTCCTCTCTAGAAAGAGCAAGGAGTGGGGAAACTTGGGGGCGGGTTAGGGATTGGGGGAGGGAGGTGGGAAGACGGAAGATGTGTGCCTCTAAACAACCTTTCAGCGCCTTGGTTATAGCAGCTGTATTTCAGGTGAAATCTGTTTTACAATAGACTAGTTTTGCATTTAAAAAAAACTTCTATAGCCTTTCTAAATGTCTGCGGTGTTTTACTACAAGCTGTACACAATATTTGTGAGATAATTTGTATCTAATCGACCACTCCACATTATTATTGCTATTATTATTATTCCTTCATTGAGCTGATGGTTTTTTAATTGCTTATAAAAGGGAGAGGAGGCTGGGAGGAGGAGGGGGAGAGATGTGCCTACCTTTCACTCATGCCCCCTATCCCAAATCTGTGAAGAGAGGAAAGGATACAATGGAAAAAGAGTTCTTGGTGGTGATATATACATATATGTTTGTTTTGTTTTGTTTTGTTTTGTTTTGTTTTGTTTTGTTTTGTTTTCCTCCGTGGGCGGAGTGCCTAGAATGGGCAGAATAGGCAAGCTGATTGGGTTTGCAAACTAGTGCGAAGTAGGAGAGGCTGTTTTGAAAGATTCTGCCCTCCCTGCCAGAACTGTTGAACCCTTGCTAGTCTTTTACAGTGCAGATCTGGGTGCCAGAGAAGAATTCAGTGGCAGCGCTCGGGCGATAGAGGTAGTCATGGGGAGCTGAGAGGAGTATGACCCTACTGAGGTCTGGAATGCCTGTACTCGGAGCTCCCCAAGGGCCCGGAGCCTATCCAGGCCGACTGACCGCCAGCGCTACCCCACCTTGGCTCTCTTGGGCGAAGGACTTTGCCTTCACAGGCTATTAATCTCGCTGGAGAAGACGACCCGGAGACTCTGGCGACAGTCAGTGCCTCCCAGTTCGGTTCAACTCCAGTCCAATGTCTGCTCCTTGAATAAAAAATCCCTGGGAAGGGATGGTGAGGGCGCTCTCTGCTTTGTGCAGAACGACAATGAAATGATTGGCAAAGGTCACAGGGATTTTGGTCTAGCCTCGTACCACATCCTTCAGATGTGTATATACCGCTGTTGCTGAGTGAGCTCACACCGGGAGCCATCTCATGCCTCGGACAAGCACAGCTGGTGGAATGTCCACTGCGAGGATTGAACTAGCTAGTGAGGGCCTGGGCTGCTGGGTTTCTTTTTTTTTTTTTTATCTCTGTGTGTATGTGTCTCTCTCTGTGTGTGTGTGCGTGCGCGTGCGTGTGTGAGCGTGCAAACGTATGTGTGTAGATAGTTGTGTGTATATTATTACTATTTACAAGAAACAAAAACCACAAAAAAATCTCGCTAGACTATGTAGAGATCCAAAAAGTATGCATTTGCTGTGGCTTTACTGCTAGCTCTCAAGTCCACATGCCAGGTCCACAGATAGACCTCATAACCAAGGAGCATACATGTGCTGGCTCGCCAAGCACGCAATCCACAGCCACTGCCCTCCTGAACTACCTGGGAGCTTGCATGACCTCGCTGGCCGCCTAGCTGGGCCTCCAGGGGCAGCTGCAGTAGACAAAGCTTCAAACTACCTAAGGACCAGATACCCTAGTGCCCCCTGTGGAAGATACATGCCCTAGTATGGGCTGCCAGGGCTCTGGTCCACTGCACTGTGTGTCTCCCAGCTGCAGGTCCAAGAGCATGAGTTAATTCAAATCCCAGACCCTTTTTATTTTTTGTGAAGCCTCTGCATTCTCTTGGTAATTGGGTTTTAGTTCTGGGACTTTTTCACACATTGAGATCATGTTTTACAACTGTTAGGGTTATTTGTTTATTTGTTTGTTTTGATTTTTTCTTTGCAGTTAAGCGCTATGGTTCAAACCTGAGTTAACCCAAATATTTCTGCTGACTTTATAATTGTACAGTTTTGTATATTAAACGTTTTTGAAGTTATTAATTTAAAAAAAGATCATTTAGTTTATTCATTTAGTAACTGATGTATAATAAATGCTATTTTCATTAAGAGTTGCTTTTTCAACTATTTTATTCAAATTGCCTATTGCAGTTGCCAGCAATTATTTATTTTCAATAAATTCTGCATTGTGTTAAAAATGAGACTCTTTCAAAGATGAGTTGGGTGTCAAAAAGAAAACAATTCACTGTAATGTTTGATGTGAACAGTTTTAGTCAAGGGGTTTATATTGACACAATATTTTATTGTTGTAAAATATTAAAAACATTTAAATAAAACTTTTTTTTCAAAAAAATCTGTTTTTTTCCCTCCTGCCTGTATTGTGCGGTAGTGTGTGAACTGAAGCGTTTA